CCATATACTATACTGTATATGCTACAGGGTTTTGGGTTTAGGAGTTGAGAGGTTCTGGGTTTAAGGGTTTAGGGGTTTAGGGGTCAGGGGTTTAGGGGTTTAGGGGCTAGAGTTATAGGGGTTTCCCAGAGAGCCCAATACCCCCTTAATTAAGGAATATACCTTATAAATTATAGGGGCCTTAATATTATATGATTTAGGTATATATTCCTTAATTAAGGAGTATTGGCCTCTCTGGGTTAGAGTATTTGGGATACTCTACCATACTATATACAATACACTATACACACTACATTACTATACTATACACTATATACTGTATACTATACTAAAACACCCCACCCCTAAACCCTGAACCCCATCATGTTTAATATCACAATATCAAAGTAGGCTTTTGGGGCTTCGGGTTATGCCGGGCATGATGCTTCAGTTCCATGCAAAGATAGACAGCCCTAAGGCCCTAAGCCCCGAAAGAAGAGTCGACCCTGAAGATCCTCGCCAGCAGCACAGCCTAGTCTCTAAACCCTGGAGCCACAGCAAATGCTTCAACATCGTCCAATTCCTATAAAGAAAACCGTAAACCACACAAACCCCTAAACCGGAAAACCTTATAAAGCCTGCAGTGTATCGCTCCAAATGTACATATCGGGCAAAAGCTCGCCCAGAACGAACACAAGAATGGGGAGCTCTGCAGTCGCTCCAGAAGGCCTGCTTGGTACTTGGGTGCTTCCGGGTTTCGGGTGCCAAAGTTGTACTTGTATAGGGTTTATGGTATAGGGTTTAGGGGTTTAGGGTTTATAGGGTTAAGGGTTTAGGACTTTGGGTCCTGGTTGGATGCTACAACCCATAAATGCCACAAACCCGAAATAAGGCCAAACCCAAACCTCAAACCCCGCAACCAAGCCTTATAATATTCAGACCCCTAGACTCCCAAACCAAGTCATGGGAGGGAGTGAGTGACTGGGTGAGAGAGTGAGGGAGGAGGCGAGGGAGAGAGGTCAGCAGGAATTGGGAACCACGAATATACTGTCCCCGGCAAGTGTCACATCTTCTGCAGGTGATGCTGGTCGGCACAGACATCCTGAAGGAGATGGATTGATGGTGGGGAGAAGAACGGAATTCTTTCCAATCCTCTACGGGGGCTCTGTTCGGGAATACAATGCATGGCTGCTTATAAGATGTATCGAGGATGGTCTCACTTGTAGCTACAAGGCTTGTATGTACTCTGAATGTCATTAGCTTGCAGGTTTCTTTCGTGTCAATCCTCACAGAGCCTCGGTTCTATCTGGGGATCGAGTCAGATTCATGCTTGGAAGGCGACTGCTGATTACAGCTGCTACTGTGCTGATTATAGAGGCTATAGTGGGACCCAAGTACCGGCAAGTTCGTCTGCTACCGGCATATGTGAAAATGGTCTTTGTCTATCTGTCTATATCTTGACTACATCATATCTATCTATCTATCTATCTATCTATCTATCTATCTCTGTCTATCTTTACCATATAGAATACTATGGTGGAGTGGGTTGGGGGTCGGCCGGGCTTGGTGGGATGGGTTTGGGGCTGGCTGGCTGGGTTGGACTTGGCTGGGCTGTGGCTTGGGTGCCTGGCTGGCTGGGCTGGGCTGGGTGGTGGGCCGCGATGGGGGCTGGGCGTCTGGGCTGGGTTGGGTGGCTGGGCTGGGCCGGGATGGGGGCTGGGCTTGGCTGGGCTGGGTTGGTGGCTGGGCTGGGCCGGGATGGGGGCTTGGCTGGGCTGTGCTTGGGTGCCTGGCTGGCTGGGTTGGGCTGGGCTTGGCTGGCCTTGTTTGGGGGATACCGAATTTCTTTGGGGTGGGGGGGGAGGCCTGGTGGCTGGGGAGAGGCCTGGCGCTTTTTGTGTTGGGGCGGGGCTGGGGCTGGAAGTGGTTTTGGATGTGTTTTTTTATGGAGTTTTGTTGGGTTTAATGCTTTTTTTGTTGTTTTTTACTTTGCCGTGCCAAAATGCGTTGGGACCCGTTGGATGCGTGGGGTGCCATCTGGCACCCGTTGGAAGCGTTGCCAAAAATGCATTAAATGCAGCAAATGCATACTCGTTGCATGCGATAAAAGCGTAAGCGTTCAAAATGCGTTCAAAATGCATTCAAAAAGCGTTCGGAATGCGTTCGGATGCGTTCGCGAAATGCGTTAAAAATGCGTGGAATGCGTTCGCCCAGGCCGGCCACCTGGGGGCCAATTTTGAAAGCACTTTGTGGCCACCTGGCCCATTTTATCGAGACAGATGCATTTTTTATTAGCTACCCGGGCCAAAACCTGTGCTTTTGGGAGGGGGGTGGCTTCTATATGGGCAGTTTTGTAAATTATATATACACTTATATACAATATGCTGTGTTGGTTATCTGAAACATATCATATGTGTGCAGAAAAGTAGATATGCATATATTATTTACATACATTATATGCATATGTATGCACATATATATTATACAATATATAATATACATGACACAAATCAAATATAATATATATATATATATATATGTTATACGTGTAGATGGTATATGATATCCTTTATAGTTATGCAACAGCACACACACACA